TTGTTCTTCAGACTCCAGCTCAAAGTCTTTTCTCAAAATCTGGTTCTTCATATTATAATGTTCCTTTCTATTAATTGCATTATCCTTTAGCAGCCTACACTCAAAGCATCTACTTTATTAATTAAAAATTACTGTTGATCGTTATAGTAATAACAAAAATATAGTTTCCAAATGACTGCTTTTCTTCAGGGACAGTTTTGTTTTTTTTTGTTTTTTTTTATGTAAGGGACAGTTTTGTTGGAAGACAACTTGTTTCAATATTATGACTGGCTTCAGCATTTCAGGTTTCTTTGTGGATGTGGTTTAAATAGCTGCCTGTTAGGTAATTATTATAAAAGCAAAACTTTAAACTATTATCTCTGTTGAGTATCTAGTGGTTGAGCTTATGTACGTGTATGCGTTGTTAACATGAGCTAGATAATTCATTCACATGACCTTCCTATAGCTTTTCTGTCATTCAGAAATTAAGCTTTTTGCCAGGTGTGCACACCTCTAATCCTGATACTCAGGAGGCTGTGGCAGGAGGATCACCATGATTTTGAGGTGAGCCTGAACTACATAGGGAGACCCTATCTCAAGAGAACACAAAACAAAGCAAAAACCAAAATTAAGCCTTTAAAAGTATCTAGTGTGGGCAAGGGAGATAGCACGGTGGTCTAAGTGCCTGCCTGGCAAGTACAAGGACCTGGGTTTGAACCCTGGTACTGCACGAGACCCTGTACCAAATAAATAAGTTTTTTTTTTTTAAAAAGTATCTAGTGGGATACAGTGCACACTGTTAGTAATGTGAGATGTGGTAAGGATTTTAGGATTTTGAATATGTGTACCTCCATAATCTATCTTTAGCATATTCTTCAGGTAGATAAAGTTTTGAGATCTTGCAAGTCTGAAAAGTGCATCTATTCCTCCTTATTGGTCAAATTTATGTATTTATTTGTTGATACAGGGTCTTGCTATACAGTTCAGACTCATAGTGATCCTCCTGCCTCAGCCTCCCCAGCGCTGGGAGTATAGGCGTGCTTGGTTTTGAGGCTGGCGTGCCCAGGATTCCAGGGCTGGCATTGGCATGTGGTACCAGGGATCGAACTTGGGACCTTGCACTTGCTAGGCAGGTCCTGAGATAGCCGAGCTATCTCCCAGCCCCAAATTTAATATTATTTGGAATGTTTAAGGTATTGGAGCTGAAGATGTATTTAGTGTTAGATCATACCACTTAGTGTAAGGTCTGACATTCATTACCTGTATCCACCATAAACGAAAATTGAAGAGATCACTGTCATTTTTAGCTTTGATCATTGTAAGTTATTTGTTGTTGTAGGTGCTTCAGCTCTCTCTGGCTGATTATTCATCTAGTTATAAACAGTTTTCTTTTTGTTTTTGTTTTTAATCTCTTTTATGGTACTGGGGATAGAACCCCAGATCCTTCAGTGAGCTATTACCTCTATCCCCTCTTAAGTTTTGATGCAGAGTCACAAAATTTCTAATTTGTAGCTGGGCATGGTGTGGTACATAGCTGTAATCCCAGCACTCTGGAGGTTGAGGCAGGAGGATCAGCCTGGGCTACATAGTGAGTTCCAGATCCATGTGAATTACCTGGTGAGACCTTTTCTAAAATAAAGAAAGTTGCTAAGTTTCCAGAAAGAAAAAGTTACTAAGTTGCCCAGGCTGGGCTCTGACATGTAATCCTTCTGTCTCAGCCTCCCAGAGTGCTGAGATTATAGACATGCACCACACACACTTAGCTTTTTATTATTATTTCTGTGATACTTCTCAATATTTTTTCCTTTCACTTTCCAGAATGTCTGTTAAAAGATGTAGAAGTTCTGTCACCCTTTAATTTTTTTTAATCTCTCATTTTCTTCGCTGCCCTTTGCTCAGCTTTCTGGAAGACTGTTAACCTTCCTTTCTGTCACATTTCAACTTGCTCAAAATTTGCTATTATTCTCAGTCTCTTATTTTACAAAACACCTTATTTTATGTCTATAGTATTTTTTCATTCTAGGTCATCTTGGAAAATGCACAGTTTTTGGGAAAAAAACTTTATACATTCTATGTCCACATATAACTAATAATCTTAGAAAAAATATTTTCAAAGATTTTTATTTTTTAGGGAAGGGTCTACAGGGTGTTCAGAGTCTCACTACTAGATCTGACTCCTAGTGATCCACCTGTTTACAGCCTCCCAAGAGCTGGGATTATAGGTGTGTGCCACCACGCCCAGTCCCAACTGCCATCTCAGCACACCCTGGGAGTGGGGCTGATATGGCAGACCTAGGGATTGAACCCCCAGCTCCTGCACCTGCTTGCAGGTACTTTAATCCACTGAGCTATTTGGCCTGCCCTCAAAGGATTTCTTTTTATTTCTTTCACTGTGATTTTACAGGACCACCTGTCTGTGTTGTCATGTTTATTTTTTGCCTCTTTCTCACATCTATTACTCATCCTTAAAAGACAATTCAGAACCTCTCTATTTGCATTTTCCAGTCCTCTCTCCAAAGATCCAAACCAGCTGTAGTATCTATCATATTTCCTAACCATTTTATGCATACCTATTATAACATAGTCAGCTTCCTCCTCTTTCCTTAGTGCTTGTGAAGAAAAGGTAGTAGTGGCTAAGAATATGCTTACAGCATTATGCATACATCTATAATCCCAGCACTTAGGGCTGAAGCAGGAGGATCATGGTAAGTTTGAGGACATCCTGGGCTACTTAGTGAATAAGGATCTGCCTGAACTGCATAGCAAGATTCTTATCTCAAAAAAAAAAAAAAAAGCAAAACAAAAAAATTTTCTTAGACAAACATAAATCTAGGTTTGGGCCATAGATCCAGTGTGTAACTCATTGTGCTGGGATAGTTACTTAACCTCTTAGCCTGTTTTGTATATATTTTGGATACAGAAATAATGGTATCTGTAAGCAATGTAAGAACATATGAGTGTCCTTAATTGACCTAGTGCAGAGTAAGGAGTCTCACCCATTCTTATCAGTAGACTATGAATTTCTTGATGCTAGGTCTCTGTGCATTTCAAGCATCCAAAACACAGGCACACCTTCCTGTACACTAAGAAGGCTTTCTGCACATAGTTGATATTCAAATCTTACACTGTTGAGAAAGCAGGTTTCCACAGTACCAACATAGAACTCATGCTGTTTTTATGTCTGTATATTAGAAACATCTTCACTCACATTTACACTTTTTACTTGTTTTGTTTTACATTTGTACTTTTTAGTACCAGTTTCTCAGGTTGCTTATCAATCTGAAGATTTGTTTTGGAACTTTGATTAAAGTGGGAAGAGACTGAACAAGGGGAAGCTGTTCTAAGTATTGGAAAGAGTTTAAAATGTTGCAGAGGCACAGTTATTACTCTGACCCTGGAAAATGGAATGTCTTTGTTACATGCAAGTCTCTAAATAGTGTTGTTTTCAGAGATGAGTGATGATACAGGATCAAGAAATGATGGTACAGTGATAAAACTGAGTATGTGTGATGCTTTGGGTTTATGTAGTCTAGGTGGTTTCAATAAACTAGAATTTTTAGTTGTTAATCCACTTAGCAAGTAATTATATTTTGATTGTGTGCCAGACATCTCATCGCTGGAGATATGTCAAAGAATAAAGCAGTTTCAACTTATAACAACTATAGATTTGTTATATATGGTGTATTAATTCAGAACAATACCAGAACACCAAAGAAATAGGAGAGGATGTTATATAAATAATACTGGATGAGCTGAGCATGGCACATACCTGTAATTCTAGCATTTGGGCAGACTAAGTGAGGAAGATCTCTAATTTAAGCCTACCTTGAGCATGTTAGTGACTGAGATGCTATCAGGTGCAACTTCAGCGTGCTTTTATATTCTGTGCTAGATGACAAGGTATCGTAAACCAGCAGCATTATTTGGAGGTGGAGTGCCATTCTAATAGTTACATACAGTAGCATTTTCCATTCCTTCTTTCCTGTGTCTGAATACTTTTTATCAAAGCTGCAATTCCCTATCCTATGAAACAATTAGGTAACTCTAGGAAGCTTTTTTAGAAACACCATCCCAGAAAATTGAACCTATGAGTGTTAGTCCCAGTTTGTTTGTTTGTTTGTTTGTTTGGCAGGTGCTTATGCTGCTGAGCTATCTCTCCAGCCCCCAGATAAACATTTTTAAAAAGCTCTTCAGATGATTCTGATGGCGTAGAGAAGGTTCAGAATCAGTAAATTAATGGCTTCTCTTAACAGTTCTCAAGTCTCTTCATAAGAGAGAATTTAGTAGAAAACATATATCTATCCATTTTTAGCTCAAAGACATAAAGATTCTACTCTTGGACTGCTTATTGCCTGTAGAGAGTATATATTTCAGTCTGCTACTCTGAAGAGTGTCTGGAGTTATCAAGCTGCCAACTTCTAGTTATTACACTGAGTCATGGACTAGAAAGACTGTTAGTATCTGGCTCATCTGTCTTAAGGAATTACCAAACTTGGAGAAAAGAGGCAGACATGGTGGTGTATGTATGCCTGTGATCTCAGCACTCTGGGGAGGATGGGGCAGGAGCATTGGCTGTGATCAAGGCCAGTATGGACTACATAGTGAGACACTGTCTCAAAAACAAAAGAAAAGGGGGATGGGATGGGGTTCATATATGGTTTTGTGCAAAGGCCCTGGGTTGAATCCCCAGTACTGGGGGTGAGGAGGATTGAATGCAAAAAAAACAAATTCTTCCTTCTGTTTTCCCTTTTCCCCCTTTGCCCAGGTTGACCTCAGATTCATGATCCTCCTGTCTCAGCCTCTTTAGTAGTCAGTATTACAGGTGTGCAGTACACCTGCTGTTTTTACTTGTTTTTAAGGGTAGTACTGGATTATTTTTCTTTAAAGCCAAGTATAAGTCAGATTTGGAAAAGAAATAGCAATTTGTTTGTTCTCGTTTTCTTCTTGCCATATAAAATTAATTTCAAAGTGATCACCACTGCTATCCCGCACCAATCCTTCTTTTGGTTTATTTTTTGCAGGAGGTGTATCGGATTCCAAAGAAAAGTCAAACTGAAAAGGAGAGCACAGGTAAGCATTCAGAGTCACTCAGGGAAAAGATAGCTTTACAAATATTCTTTTGGTATATGCAGAGGTGATTCATAAGAACTTTAGCTTTTGGCTTTTGAAACCAGACAATATATAATTAGCTTAAACATTTTGTGTAAAAGTTTATGAAATTGTGCTTTTATTCTTTCTTAATGAATTTTTGCCAAAGGAGAGGTCCCTTAACAGCTTGTGTTGCTGCTTTCCTTGAAGTCATGGTCTTCAGTAGCTTTCCATCCACTCATTTGTTCTCTAGATTAGGCATGGTTAAACTTGTACTCTCAGAGGTTTGTGAAAGAATACTTACTTCTAATATTTATACAAAAGCCTATTTAGCTATTTTTCTAGGGAAAGTTCAAAATTAGTTGCTCGGGTAGTGGTTCTGAAAAGGCTAGTTTTATTGTTACAGAACAGTAGCAGGAAGTCCGTGATTTCTGTGCTTTACCAGTTAGTAATGTTTCAGAAGAGTTATTTGTTTTAGGAGTGAAAGCAATGAGCTCAGTTATGGTGGCTGTCATTGATTTCTTGAAATCCTCTAGCACTGAGCCAGTGTAGAGTGAAGCATGCAGGATGTGCAGTATTCACAGGAGTTTTTTATGTTTAGTTGGTTTATTTTATTTTTTTGGCGGAACCGGGGATTGAACTCAGGCCCTTGCCAGGGAAGTACTTATTCTACTGAGCCATCTCCTGGCCCTTGGTTAGTTTATTTTTAAAAAAAAATTGATTGGGGCTGGTGAGATGGCTCAGTGGTCTAAAGCACCTACTTAGAACAAGCTTAGCAATGCCTAGGGACTGCGGTTCAATCCCCCAGCACCACATGCCAGCCAGCCCGCCCCCTGGTGGGCTGAGCTGGCCACACACACACACACAAATAAAATTTTTAAAAAATTAATTAATTTATTTGATACAAGGTCTCACTGCATGGCTCTGACTCATAGTGATCTTCCTGTCTCAGCCTCCACAGTACTGGGATTACAGGCATGTGCCACCATGCCTGCTTTCAGGGCCAGCACAGAGCACATGGGGTTCTGGGGCCAGCACAGAATGCAGTACCTGGTATCCAACCTGGGTCCTTGCACTTGCCAGGCAGGTGTTTAGACCACTGAGCTATCTTGCTTGCCCCTTTTTTTGAGGGAAGCAGGTGTGTGTGGGGGTTCTTTCACCTCATTTTTGTTGCGCATAACTATAATCTTCAATACTTCCATTTTGAACATGAGAGATCTTTTGCTCCATTGTTGTGTCTTTGGCATATTTTAAACTTCTTCTGATTTAGTCTCTTCATAACCAAATATCATAGTGAGGACTGCAAAAAACCTTTTTATTAGAAGGCAATTCAGGATAGTATTGGTTGGCAAAAACGTGGCACCTCTAGGGAGTTGATTATCTGAGGCTACTTCTTGGGCTAACTTAGTTGAAACCTTTAGCAACATGGCAAAAACTTAGAAGGGTTTCCTGCAATAATTTGTAAATATTATTGTGAAACTCTAGAGGATACAGAAGATGGTATTTAATGCACAACTGTGGTCTTTTTAGGGATCAGCCTTTTCTGTGGTATTTCTAGCCTGCTATTCACACGTGGAACCCCATATCTCAGTCTCAGACTTTTAGAACGAGGAAATGCTTATAGTGCAGAAGTTGCTAGTTACTTGTCAATTTCAAGAAATTAAAGCTTAGAACCTTTAAAATCTGGGCGAACCGTAAAATACTTTAGGAAATACATCATCTGGCTAAACCTCTATTTTATAATAAGAGAAAAACAGCTCAAATAAATGGAACAACTTTGCTGCCTCACTTATTCTAAGGTATAGAGTCAGAATGTGAACTGTTGGTGTGAACCTTTTTTTTTTTTTTCTCTTTTATCAGGTATAGTGGAAAAATAGGTACACTTTAAGAAAATGTACACCAGGGCAAGAAATGTGAGTTTGTTGGAGGAAATAGAATAGTCTTGAGTACCTCATAGAAAGATGTAGTGGTAGTACTTTGTAAGCTAGGCCAGTTAATTATGTAGCATTTTATATAGCATGTGGTACAAATTCTGTTATGGCCTGCCTACTGACAGATACTTATATAAGGGGTTTTAAGAGAGCTAGAAGAATGGCTTGTACACATCTCATCCTGTAATGGAAACGCAGAATGTTTTTACAATATAATAGAAAAATCACAATGTTTGTTAAGAACCTGCTGTGTGCTAAGAGTGATAGTTTATAAGAAAGTCATTGTTAAAGTTGAACTTAGTGGTGCACACCTGTAATCCTAGTCTTCAGGGGCAGAGGCAGGAGAATTGCTATGAGTTTAAGGCCAGCCTGGCTTACATAGTGAGTTGCCAACCAAAAAAAAAAAAACAAAAACAAAACAGAAACAGAGAAGGAGATCAGTACTAACAGAGAAGTTAGGATCAGTACTAACTTATGCAAAGCAAAAGCATAAAGTGCCAGTCAATTTATATTCAAGTGTTCTGTAGTGCCTGAAATGTTCAGTGGGGAGAGAATTAGGAGAGTAAGAAACCAATTAGTAAGCATCATTAGTGAAGAGTAATACTCAGATCAGCTTTTGGAAAAGATAGAATGTGGTTACATGAAGAGAGTAAGGACGATTCTCTTTTTTTCTTTTTTTGGTACTGGGGATTGAACTCAGGACCCTGTGCTTGCCAGGCAAGTGCTTATTCTACTGAGCTATCTCTCTGGCCTTTAGAACCATTCTAAGAGAATGAAGGAGGCTAGTAAGTAGTACCATCTTTGAATAGGAAGCTGTTTTTTTTTTTTTTCTTTGGAGCTGTATCTCCCTGACTGGCCTTGATAACTTACTAAGCTAACACCTATGTTTGAAATATTTTCCCTGTAAAAAATTGATTAATAAGCACTTTTAAAATTAAGGAAACTTTTTTTAAATTGATGTTTTTATGCTTATCATATCAGGTTTTTCTAATAATTACAGAGTTAACAGGTTCATTTAAAATTCTGTACTGTGAACTGGCAGGCAGATTGCTTTGACAAAGGTGAAAGGAACATCTTATGTGGGTATGCTCACAGTACTTGTTTAGAAGTGCTCCAGACTTGTCCTAAGTCTTTGGTAGGGAAGAAAAGACATTCATGGAACAGAGTTTTATTAACTGTTTGTTGGCTAGATATTTATTTATGGGTCTGTTTGTTGACTAGATATTTATTTATGTATTTTTAAATGTAGATTCTTTTTTTAAAAATTTATTTGTGTGTGTGTGTGTGTGTGTGTGTGTGTGTGTGGCCAGCTCAGCACACCAGGGGGCAGGGCTGGCTGGCATGTGGTGCTGGGGGATTGAACCTTGGTCCCTGTGCTTTGCTAAGCTTGTTCTAAGTAGGTGCTTTAGACCACTGAGCCATCTCACCTGCCCCATGTTGACTAGATATTTAATCATATACTTATGTACTGTTCTAATGGAGAAGAGTCTACTCAATGAAGTTTTTAAAACATTTTTTCTCCTAGTAACTGAGCGAGGAAGGGATGCCGTTGGACTCAGAGATCAGACAGCTGCCCCAAAGACTCCTAACAGGTCAAGAGAGAGAGATCCAGATAGGCAGACTCAGAATAAAGAGAAAAGGAAACGGAGGGGTTCCCTCTCACCACCACCTTCTGCCTATGAGCGAGGAACAAAAAGGCCAGACGACAGGTAAGTGATATTGTGCGCGCGCACGCGCGTGTGTGTGTGTGTGTGTGTGTGTGTGTGTGAGTTATGTGTTTGGTACAGCTTGGACTCGCTGGGCTGGTGCAGAATGTGGTGCCAGCGATTGAACCCCGGTCCCTGCACTTAACTATGCAAGTGCTTAGTCTGTTGAATTATCTTGCTGGCCCTGATTATGTGCTTTCTTTTGGGGAGAACAAGTCAAAAAGTATCCAAGTCACTAAGGTGACTTGTAATTCTTACACCACAGGAGGCTAAGGTAGGAGAATCACAAGATGGAGCCAAAACTACGAATTAGGAGACTAAGTGACTATCTCAAAAATTAGAAAAGCTAGAAATGTAGCTCAGTGTAAAGGCTCTGGGTTCCCCAATACTGTTCAAAACCCTCCCTCCCAAACCAAAAACACTCTTCAAGTCTCATGCAGTTGACTCTGTGAGTCTACTTCTGACTTAGGACACCAATAACATTTAGATAGAAGTAATATTATGTCTTGATGAATATAAAAGCTTTCACTGATAAATCTTAGACTGTCAATCTTATTTGTATAATTTCTATTTGGTAACATATAAATGCTATTTAGGGCACTAAAGATTTGTCTTTTAAGTTGCAATGAAAGTTGGTGGGAGATAACTGCAAAACTGATGGTGTCAAGAGGCCGAGATAGGATGATTGCATTTTGAGGCCAGCCTGGGCAATTCAGGGAGACCTTGTCTCAAAAAATAGAGGTTATGGATATAGAACGTTGCTGGGTTCAATTCTTAGTACTACCCCCTCCCCAAAGTAGTTTTAATTCTTCCATAGTCATAACTTTAAAGCTGATGGTCCACACTTCCTATCCCAATTATTCTGGAGACTGAGACAGAAGGATCGCAAAGTTTAAGGCCAGTCAGGGCAATTAAAAATTGTCAAAAAGGGTAATGGACTCAGAATATAGTTCAGTGGTAGTGTGTTGGCCTAACATTCAAGGGCCTGAGTTCAATTCCCACTACCACTTCAAAGCAAAACAACTTTGCTGAGCCTAATGGCTCATACCTGTAATCCTAGCTACTTGAAGGATGAGGCAGGAGCATCACAAGTTTGAGGGCAACATGAGAAACATACTTGTTTACTAGTGAGTCTTATGCCATACCAGTGAAAATACTGATTTAAAAATATCATAGGCTCCCTTCTGCTGGTAGAAAAACAAACTGCATAGTAGCTCTCTGCTGAAGGCTAGCAAACATTTATTCCAGGGAAGTTTTTTTTAAATTAAATTTGCTTTTCAAGCAAATTGACATAAAGTATTTATATAGTACAGTTGCCAGACTTTTTAATTTTGGGTGGTGTAGATATCTAATAATTCATAGTGATTTTAATTTTATTTAATTACTAAATAGATCAAATACCTTGTCATGTTTATTGACCGTTACTTTTCCTGTTCTAGAAAATGCCTTTTATGTGTTGCCCATTTATTGAATTGTCTTCAGTTTTAGGAGTTTGTCTCAGTTGCTTTTTACTTGTCACTGGGACAAAATACCCGACACCCCCAATTAAGGAAGGAAAAATTTACTTAGCTCACAGTTAGTGGAAGTTTTAGTCTATATTTGGCTGGCTCTAGGGCAGAAGGCGGCAATTTATGGCGGCAGAGAGCAGAGAAAGGGAGCAGCAGTTGTGGTGTCTATCAAGCCTCTTTCCCTTTCTTTTACGCTGACTGCAAGAACTGGAGCTCCACCGTGAAGATCAGAGCTCCTCCAGAGTGGTGTGGCTGCAAAAATCAAGCTTCTCCAAAGTGGCCCGGCTGCAAAGTGGCGCAGCAAAGATCGGAACTCCTTCAAGGAAGTGGGGCACAGAAGTTTTCTTCAACCCCTTTATATACCCTCTAAGTGTTGAGTCACTCTGGGGTGGGTCTTCCATGCCCTAGTGGCTTGGGGCATGGAGTCCTTAAGCTGATCCAGCTAAGCTTTGGACCCTTCAAGTTGACACAGTATCAGCTACCACAATCCACCCCTTGTCAACTTGTCAACTATACATATACTTTAAACCAGTCTCTAGGTACATAGACATGCTTATTAACATTTTACAACTTTAACATAACGCAGGTTTAACTTTCATTAAGTGTCACTAAGTCTATCAACATTATGTTACATGAAAACCATAACATTTTGCTCCTGGGCCTCCCAAAGGCTCATGCACATCTCTTTATGGAAAGACACCTTGTATATCTGTAAGAGTTGCCAAAATCTTAATTATTTTACCATTACTTTAAAGTCTTAAGTCTCAAGTCTCCTCTAAGATCTAAGGCAAACTCTTAGCTGTGAGCCACTGGAAAAAATGAAAAGTTAAACACTTCTGACATTTAAAGGTGTAGGATAAACATTACCATTATAAAAGGTATACACAGCAGGGTACAAACCACTGGGACCAAAACAAGTGTGAAATCTAGAAGGGCAAACATTAAGTCTTTCAGTTTTATATAGAACATCTGAAGCAACCTATAACGAGTTGTGAGCTTGCAAAGCCTTATATGGCTCTGCCCCTATGGCACTTCTGCTGATAGCTCTCATGGCTTCTCCCTCAGGCCTGTTTTGTTTTCTTTTTACAACTTATATTAGTCTGTTTCTGGCTTTTTTTAAACTTTAGAGGTTTTTATTGAATAGGTTTTTCACTCACAGCTGTACACACTACCCTCAGGGGCACATTGCCTGGCCTCCTAGACCTTCCATTTTAACCTCGGAACTCTTGCGTATTGCATGTGCCTGAAGCCAACGCCACATGGATGGTGCCATGGTCTGTTCCCAGCTGGAGCAGTAGCCGGGCTTGCTTTTCTCTTTGTTGTAAGGGTCGAGTGCCTGGATTACTCTGACCCTGATTCTTAAGCACAAATTTTTTATTGGCCAGCCCCATTTTGGAACCTGATGTGGCCGCTTCCTCTAGTCTGCAACAAGGAGCTCTGCGGCTTTCTCTTCAGAGCAAAGTTCCTCACCCTTGTGATTCTGGGGCTGCTAAGGGCAAGAACCTGCCACCTCTTGTGATGCCCTCAGGACATCTTTTTTATTCTCCTGTTCCTCCTGAGCAATGGAGATCTCAGCTCTATTTTTGCAGTGTACAGCCTTCTTGACACTTTTTTTTTTCCAAACTCAAAACGTTTTAAATTATCTTGCTGGGCTCTTTGCTCTTGACTTTCAGCATAAGTCTGACTAAAAGTCTCCAACAATAGCCATGCCACTGCTTTAACATTTAACTGTTTTGAGATTTCTTTTGCAAGATTGACTAATCCACTGTGCTTAATCTCAGTTTCAGACAAAGTCTCTGGACAGGAGCAAAATGCAGATAAACTTTCTGCCAAGCCATAACAAATCATCCGCAGTCCAACAACCAATGCAGTTTGTTCTTCCCAGGAGAAACCTCCCCAGCCTAGTCTTTACAGGCAGGATTTTTATCAGCATTTTGGTCTTCTGAGCTCTGACCAGAATCTCTCATACAGAAGAGCTGAAGGCATTCCAGCTCTAGTAGGTGACATCTCCAAACCTTTTTTGTCTCTTCTCATAAACCATTCGCAAAATCTATACTGCTTTAAGTATAGTCACAGCAACAACCCTACTCCTCATACCAAATTTTGTCTCAGTTACTTTTTACTCATTGCTGGCACAAAATACCCGACATCCTAAGTTAAGGAAGGAAAGGTTTATGTAGCTCACAGTGGAGGTGTTAGTCTGTATTTGTCTGGCTCTATAGCAGAAAGCAGCAGCTTATGGCAGTGGAGAACAGCAGAGAGCAGAGGAAGGAGCAGCAGTCGTGGCATCTATCAAGCCTCTCTCCTTTTCTTTTACGCTGACTGCAAGGACTGGAGCTCCACTGTGAAGATCGCGGCTCCTCCGAAGGGGTGCAGCTGTGAAGTGGCACAGTGAAGATCTGAACTCCTCCAAGGAAGTGGGGTGCAGAAGCTTTCCTCTACCCCTTAATATACCCTATAAGTGTTGAGTCACTCTGAGGCAGGCTTTCCATGCCTGTGGGGCATGGGGAGTGGAGTTCCTGAGCAGATCCAGCTAAGCTTTGGACCCTTCAAGTTGACACAGTATCAGCTACCACGAAGTTCTTTTTTTTTTTTTTTTTTAAATGTATTTAGGAGAGGGTCTACAGGGACTCACTATGTAGATCAGACTTGGAGTGATTCTCCTGTTTTCAGCCTCCCAAGTGCTGGGATTATAGGCATGTGCCACCATACCCAGTCACCCTGGGGGTGCGGCTGCCAGGACATGCTGGGTTTTGAACCTTGGACCCCTCTGTCTGCCTAAGCAGGTGCTTTCATCTGCCAAGCTAGCTGGTCAGCCCTTACCAGAGAGTTCTTTATGTGTATTTTAAATTTTATTTGTGTGTGTGTGTGTGTGTGTGTGTGTGTGGCCAGCTCAGCCCACCAGGGGGCGGGGCTGGCTGGCATGTGGTGCTGGGGGATTGAACTGTGGTCCCTGTGCTTTGCTAAGTTTGTTCTAAGTAGGTGCTTTAGACCACTGAGCCATCTCACCAGCCCCTTTATGTGTATTTTATTTTATTTTTTTATTTTATTTTTTTTAAATTTTTTTTTATTTTAACATTTATTGTGTGTGTGTGTGTGGCCAGCTCAGCCCACCAGGGGGTGGGCTGGCTGGCATGTGGTGCTGGGGGATTGAACCGCGGTCCCTGTGCTTTGCCAAGCTTGTTCCAAGTAGGTGCTTTAGACCACTGAGCCATCTCTCCAGCCCCTTTATGTGTATTTTAAATGTAATTCTATCTTAATAATTTTTGCAACTAGGGGCCGGGGAGGTGGCTCAGTGGAATAAGTGCTTCCCTGGCAAGCACTAGGGCCTGAATTCAATCCCTGGTTCTGCCAAAAAAAATTTTTTTTGCAACTGTATTCTGTGAGTTTATGGCTTGTATTTTGTCTTCGAGTATCTTCTGATATGCAAAATTAATTGTGTAATTAAATGTATTGCATACATTGTATGTTTTCTTTACAGTTAGTATTTACTAT